GAGACTCAGAAACAAATCTTGAAACCATCATCTTTTGGCAGAAATGCGTTCGGTCCCTGCAGTAAATTATCGGGACTAGGCCACCCCAGGTTGTAATAGGTTTCGTGCTTGGCCTGTCCCCCCTGGCAGCCCGGTGGCTACCATCCTTCATAGACCACTGAACAATCAGGTTTGGGCCCGCAGTGACGAGACACATGGGGTCTCACGAGATGGGGGTGAAGCCAGCCCTTTCCTTCCCACCCCTACGAGACCACGAGTTGCCACCCACGAACGGCCTCTCTGGCTTCTGGTCAACCTGCTTAATGGCCATGATCCCAGAGACTCAGAAACAAATCTCGGAACCCAGTGACTTTTGGCAGAAATGTGAGCAGACCTGCAGTAAGTTACTGTCACTGGGCCACCCCACAGGGGAAAGGGTGCTGTCCCTCTACCTGCTCCCCCTAGGCGGCTCAGTGGCTGCCATCCTCCAGAGGCCATTGGACAGTCAGGTTTGGGCCCTCAGTGATGAGACACATTAGGCCTCATGGGATGGGGGTGGAGCCAGCCCTTTCCTCCCCACCCCAACGAGACCCCAAGTCATCGCCCATGAATGGCCTCTCTGGCTCCTGATCAACCTGCTTAATGGCCATGATCCAAGAGACTCAGAAAAAAATCTCGAAACCCAGCAGGATTTGGCAGAAATCCCTCCAGATTTAAGTGTTAAAATTTCGGAATTTCAAAATTGCGCGGCTACTGCTGCAGCCATGCGACATCATATGTTTTTCTTAACCAGCAATAGAAAACAAATTGTCTACTGTTGCCTTTTCAGCAGATCTGAGTGTTGGGGTAAAATCTCAAATAATGATGGCGGGTCTGGTGTCAAAATACTGAATGTGATCAAAATAGAGAGAGAGTAATGTGGTAATCATCTGCCCCAAAGGTAGAAGGAGGGTGTGGGATGGTGGTATATTGGGGTTTTTGGTGGCGGAGAAGGGGCACTGGAGAAGATATGGGTGTTTCATTGTATGACCGAGACTTACACTTGAAAGCTTTGTAACTGCTCTCACAGTGATTCAATAAATAAAATTATAAAAAATGAAAAAAAGGTAAGGTGGAGTTCATGCCCAATTCAATCAGCTAATTAATGGCTGAATAAATAGCAGTACTCAGAAAAATGGATAACCATGTGCAAAAATAAACCAAAAAATGAACTTGAAGCTTTGTCTCACATAATGCTCAGACTAATTTATTATTTTTTGTTTTTAATGTTTTTTAGAGCAGTACAAAGCCATTCATGATTGAATTTTAGTCATACAGTATTCTAACACCCATCCCTCCACCAGTGTGCATTTCCCAGAACCAATGTCCCAGGTTCCGTCCCATCACCCTCCACCCCCTACCCCTTGCCTGCCTCTTTGGCAGGCACTCTCTCTCTCTCTCTCTCTCTCTGTCTCTCTCTCTCTCTCTCCTCTCTCTCTCGCACTTTCTCTCTCTCTCTTTCTCTCTCTCTGTCTCTCTCTCTCCTTTTGGGCATTATGATTTGCAATATTGATACTGAAAGGTTATCAAATATATCCCTTATCTACTTTTAACTCTCAGATCTTGTCCAGGGTGATCATTCCCAGCTTAAAAACTAATTTAAAATAGATTAAAGACCTAATTGTTAGACCTGAATCTATAAAATTCATTAAAGAAAACGTTAGCAGAACTCTCTATGATATTGACTGAGAGACATGTCAATTTGATGATTCCATACCATTAAAAAAATCAGAAGCAAAACTCTGCACCCAAAAGGAGAGAGAGAACAAAGGGGAATGCCCTGCCACAGAGGAGGGATGGGATGGGGGGATGGGAGGGTGAAAGGCATGCTGGGATCATTGGTGGTGGAGAATGGGCACTGGTGGAGGTCTGGGTATTTGATCATTGTATAACTGAAACCCAAGCACAAAAACTTGTAAGTCTACAACTGTGCCTCAGGGTGTTTCACTAATAAAAATTTTAAAATAATGATAATAAAAAATAAAGATATTACAAAGCCTTTTAAAGCTAGCACAAATGAGGACACAGTAGAAAAGGCCTAAATATAACAGCTCCAAATCCAGAAGGTAGATTATGTTAATGGTTTTTGTCTCCTACAGCTCAGGAAAAAAAAGAACCAGATATACATTTGACAATTATATAATAAATTATGCTTTCTCTACAATAAAGGAGACATAACTGCATCAGGGACCTGCCCTACTACTGGAAGGAATGTGACATAGGGTGTGAAATCAGATGTAAGTGGCCCACATGTATAAGCATGTGACCCGAGCTGGACCCAGGTGGGCACATTGACTTAATCACTGTAAGAGCCAGACCACTGAAAGGGATGAACTATGGGACTGAGATAATATCAGGATTCTCTTGCTCTTACATTATTTCTTGACACAGAAACTACCATGTTATTTGATTATTTCTGATAGGAAGCTTGAATCTCTTTTCTTCCCCTTTTCCCTTTCTCTTCTCTTCACTTTTTCTTCCCTCCCTCCTTCCCTCCCTCCCTTCCTCCCTTCCTCCCTCCCTTCCTTCCTTCCTTCCTTCCTTCCTTCCTTCCTTCCTTCCTTCCTTTCTTTCCTTCCCCATCGTTCCTTCCCTTCCTTTTTTTTTAGTTTTTTTGGTTGGTTTGTTTTGTTTTTGCTTTGGGGCCACACCCAGTTGTGCTCAGGGGCTATGCTTGGTTTTGTGTTCAGGGATCACTCCTGTTGGTGTTCAGGGAATCACACCTGGTGCAGGAATCAAACCAGGATCAGTCACATACATAACCAACATGGCTCTATAATAGCACTTTAATCCCTATACTATCTCTCTAACTCTGCTTTTCATTTCTTGATTTCATTTCTTGAATGGTACACTTTGAGGTTTAGCACTGTTAGCCCTTGGATTAATTCCGTTCAGCCTTTAAATAATAGGATTTGTCAGACATTTTATTATTTGTAATAAATGCCCTAAACAGTTTGCCCATATGCTTTGCTTCGCTTTTCTTTTCTTTTCTTTTCTTATTTTATGCCATGCCCAGCAGTGCTCAGTGGTTAGTCCTGAATCTGCACTCAGGAATTACTCCTGGTGGTGTTCCAGAGACCATATGGGATACCAGATAATACACCCAGGTGGACTGAATGCAAGGCAAGCACCTTATTACTCTGGCCCCTGCTATATGCTTTTAACTGCCTTCTGAATTATGGGAATGAGCAGGTCTGTCCTCAGTTCTTCTCATATTCCCCTCTGGGAAATACCTTGAAATTTGTCAAAAGTGTGGTCACACTGCACTCATTTGTAGAATATAAAATAATATATTATGAGACTAATACCCAGGATAGTAGAGACAAGGGCCAGGAAGATTGCTCCATGGTTGGAAGTCTGCCTCCTGAGCTGGGGGAGAAGGCAGCTGGAATAGAGAAGGGATCACTAAGTTAGTGATGGTTGGAGGGATCGCTCGGGATGGGAGATGTGTGCAGAAAGTAGATAAAGGAACAAATATGATGGCCCCTCAGCATCTGCACTGCAAACCATAATGCCCCAAAGTAGAGAGAGAGTAAGAAGGAAATTGTTTGCCGTAGAGGCAGGGGGTGGGGTGGGTGGGAGTAGTGGGAGGGATATTGGGGACATTGGTAGTAGAAAACGTGCACTGGTTGGGGGATGGATGTTTGATCACTCTATGACTTAAATGCAATCATGAAAGCTTTGTAGCTATATCTTATGGTATAAGATTAAAAATTAAATTAAAAAAAAGTGTGGTCACATCTCTATTTGTGGCATCATGAGCAGAACCGGTTATAAAGAGCTGACATGCCAGAGCCGTGGGTTTTCCCCAGCAACACGCCTAAAAGGTGCGGCGAGGGGACTTCCGTGCTGACATTTTAACAGACCCAATTTTATTAGGTTTGAATCAGAACCCAATTGACTAGGAGATGAAATAGTGCTGCCTTAGACACTGAAAAGAAAAGGTAATACTTGTCTGACCATATCCCTTATCTTGGGGAAATTACCTTTGTCTTGGGGAAAAAGAAGTTTATCTTCAAGGATGGGTATTTGATCATTGTATAATTGAAATCCAAGCACAAAAATGTGTAAGTCTGCAACTGTACCTTATAATGTCTCACCATTAAAATCTTTTTAATAAAAAAAGAAAAATAAATAAATTTTATAGCATTTTATAAGTGAAAAAATAAATAAATCATTATTCAGTTTCCTATTTTCAAGTGCTGGGCAGAACAAAGAAGAGATGGGGACGAGGGAACATCCTTTTGCTGCTTTGTACGTAATTATATTAGAAAAACTCATTTCTTTTTAGTTCTACTTTTTTGTGTTTGTTTTGGGGTTGCACCCAACTTTGCTCAGGGCTCACGCCTGATTCTGTGCTCAGGGATTGCTCCTGGAAACCATATGTGGTGCCAGAGAACAAACCCACGTCATTTGTATGCAAGGCAAGTACCCTACCCCCGTAATATTTCTCTGGCCCCAAGAAAAAAACTTTCCAGCAAAAATTTGTATTTATATTCTACTACCTTAGATAATTTTAAGCGAGGAAAATTATCTTTTTAACATAAGAGATTAAGGAGAAATAAAATCTAGCACAGGACCTAGACCTATAATGCCAGCATAGCGGCACTGACCTCCAGATTCTTTTAAGCACCAGACGGTGGAAATTATACCATTTTAAGTCACACCTGGCTCTGTGCCTGGAGGCAAGAGACCATGCTGGGGATGGAACCCAGGCCTCCCGCAGGCAAAGCCTGTGTTCGAGCACACGACTCTGGGTTCGGCCTGGAAAGCCTGCATGTTTTGAAATCATTACCTAGACCACTGGTTTGTGCCACTACTGCAGCAAGTAAACCTCCACTTCAGATTTCAGGTGTGTTTGCAGGAGAGCACTTCTTTTAAGATCAGTCTAAGTGAATTCCCAGGAAGCGAAGCAGAGAGGCAGGCGAGCAGGACCAGGGTCCGGAAGCAGCAACTAACCACACAGGAAACCGGCCTCTTACCTTCAAAGAACTGCTGCAGAGCCTCGTTTTCCCCAACCACGTCCATGGGGCTGGAGTCTAGGATTGTTCCGCATAGAACCTGGGAAAGGTCGAGCTCTCCCAGGAAGGAAGTGAATCTTCAAAGCCTATGAAAGATCTCGAAAACTCTTCATTTTCTTTTGGTTGAAATCAAGCATGTCTTTAGCCATTGAGTTGTGCCCAGGAAGATGGTTAAGTTCTCAAATAGGATTCGAAAACTAGCAACACACAGTGGGGGAAAAAAAATTCTTTAAAGGGGAAGACGTAGCAATGCCTCAATCTTTTTCCGTGGCACTGCTTCTACTCTGCCTTTGTTTTAAGGACCTTTGTCCTTGGTGACACATGTAATTACATAAATGGGTAATAAATGCATGGTCTTATCTCTTATTTGTTCTTTTACACCAATATATTGATATCCCCACCTCCATCAGCCAAATCGATAGAAGCAAGCAAAGATTACAGGTTTTATGTTGTTGGCGTTCCCCCCTCATCCCCACCTTTACTCGAGGAAAGACTATAAATCAATACAATCACTCTAATACAGACCAGGGATGGAAGATTCTTGTAATAATTGAACCTGTAATAATTTTTTAAAAATTAGGATTCGTTAAATTTTTCCACATTGACTCATAGTGAAAAGTTATGTTCAACACACTTGGTCTTGTTCCTCCAGTTTCCTGTCTTTAAAAAGTGTTTGTTGGGGGCTGGAGCGATAGCACAGTGGGTAGGGTGTTTGCCTTGCATGTGGCTGACCTAGGTTCGATTCCGAGCAACCCATATGGTCCCCTGAGCACCACCAGGAGTAGTTCCTGAGTGCAGATTCAGGAGTAACCTCTGAGCATTGCCAGTGTGACCCCAAAAGCAAAAAAAAAAAAAAAAGTTTGTGAACACAGTTTGAAGAGGCATGAAATGTACCCTAAAACATATACTATTGTGTAAACTTTCTAAACTAATATTACCACGATAAAAGAAAATATGCCTATAATTCTCAATAAAAATAAATAGAATGGGAAGTAAAAATAAGTGAAAGAAGGGAAGTAAAAATAAGTGAAAGAAAGCATAAATCACAAAGTATAAGTTCTCATAAATGGCAGAACTGCATTTCCTAATATTTCTTACAACCTAATCTAGGGTTCTGTACTGATTCTATTTTTAAATATTAAGCCATACGCAAATGAATATTTTGTTTCCACTGCCTAGCATCAGATAATTATTTGTTTTTAATAATTATTCATGCAATGATAATGATTCGATATGCCAGACACAGTAACAACAAAGTCTCCAATGGAGACGTTACTGGGCCCGCTCGAGCAAATCGATGATCAACGGGAGGGCCTTTACTTACTTACTTATTATTGTTTAAAGTAAAGGCCCTCCCGTTGATCGTCGATTTGCTCGAGCGGGCCCAGTAACGTCTCCATTGGAGACTTTGTTGTTACTGTGTCTGGCATATCGAATACTCTCGGTAGCTTGCCGGGCTCTCCGAGAGGGGCGGAGGAATCGAACTCGGGTCGGCCATGTTGGCTGCTTGTAAGGCGGACGCCCTACCCGCTGTGCTATCGCTCCAGCCCAGCAGGTAGGGCGTTTGCCTTACAAGCGGCCAACATGGCCGACCCGAGTTCGATTCCTCCGCCCCTCTCGGAGAGCCCGGCAAGCTACCGAGAGTATTCGATATGCCAGACACAGTAACAACAAAGTCTCCAATGGAGACGTTACTGGGCCCGCTGGAGCAAATTGTTTAACAATAAATATAATTTATTTAATAATAGTCATAAATGATTTCATAATAGCATAGCACTGTAGCACTGTCCTCCCATTGTTCATCAATTTGCTTGAGTAATGTCTCTATTGTGAGACTTGTTACTGTTTTTTGGAATATCCAATATGTCATGGAAGCTTGCCAGGCTTTGACATGCGGGCGCGATGATACTCTCGGTAGCTTGCCGGGCTCTCTGAGAAGGGTGGAGGAATCAAACCAGGTTGGCCCAGGTTGGCCTCATGCAAGGCAAATGCCAATAGCATAATTCAGCAAAAATACTAATAAGGAATTACTCCAGCCCTTCCAAGTCCATCCTTCTCTTTACCTCATTAACTCACTTTGAAAAAGATTTTATACTACTCTAGAAAATGTGAAAAAATAATTGCATACAATACCTCAGATAAAGAACTAATATCCAAGATCTATAAAGAACTCACAAAATACAACAGAACATCTAGCAACTCCACCCAAAAGTGAGAAGAGATGAACAGACACTTTCCCAAAGAAGTGATACAGGGGCTGGAGCAATAGCACAGCGGGTAGGGCATTTGCCTTGCATGCAGCCGACCTGGGTTCGATTGCCAGCATCCCATGTGGTCCCCCAAGCACCGCCAGGAGTAATTCCTGAGTGCATGAACCAGGAGTAACTCCTGTGCATCGCAGGGTGTGACCCAGAAAGAGAAAAAAAAGTAATACAGAGGGCCAATAGGCATATGAAAAAGTGCTCATTGTCACTTATGATTAAAGAAACACAAGTCAAAACAAGATATTCACCTCGTATCAATGAGGAAGGTATATACCAAAAGTCTAGAATTAGCCAGTGTCGGTGAAAAATATACCCACTGTGAGTGGAAGTGCTGCCTGATTCAATCTTAATAGGAAGCAATATGAAAATGTTGCCAAAAAGTTGAAATACAACTCCCATAGGACCCAGCAATATAACTTCTTGGCATCTATCCCCAATCACAAAAATATTAATTCTAAAAGACACGTGATGGCTTGGAGGCCAGCCACACATGCTAGGGGAAAGGCAGCTCAGATAAAGAAGGGAGCACCAAATAAAGGGTGTTGGGAGGATCCCCCCAGGATGGGACAAGCATGCTGAAAGTAGATTATAGACCAAACATGATTGCCACTCAATGCCTCTTTTACAAACCACAACACCCAAAAGGAGAGAGAGAACAGAGGGGAATGCCCTGTCACAGAGGCAGGGTGGGATGAGGGGTATAGGGGGTGGGAGAGATACTGGGATCCTTGGTGGTGGGAAATGGGCACTGGTGGAGGGATGGGTATTTGATCATTGTATAATTGAAATCCAAGCACAAAATTTGTAAGTCTACAACTGTACCTCATGGTGTCTCACTAATAAAAATTTAAAGAAAATAAAAGACATGTGAACACCAATGTTCATTGTAGCAGAACAGTAGTCATGGAAACAATCCAAATGCTCAATTATGAATGAATGGACCAAGAAGTTGTGGCATATGTACACAATGGAATACTATGCAGCTGTAAGGAGGACAAAAATCATACATTCTTTGGCAACATGAATGAAACTAGAGAATATCACATTGAATGAAGTCAGTCAGAGAGAGAGGGATATCTAGAAAATGATCTCTCTTATATGTGGGGCCTAGTGACACACTCTAAGAGAGAAACACAAGTCCAAAGGCAACAGAACTTGGCATGTGTTGGGTGTGTGGAGGATTATTGTGAAAGGGCACCCTTATTTGTTTGGATGTGTATATAGAATCGATGTCAAATGACACCATGTCAGCGACTGATTTTTGGAATGATTCAGCCTAAACAGCTTATTTATATATCAAGAGACAAAAATAAAAGGGAAGTGGGACTTTGGTGAAGGGAAGCACTCTGGTGGTGGTGGGTGTGGTGATGTATGTATAAAATACCGTTAATGGTACTGTAAATCACAATGCCTCAATAATGATTAAAAGTTTTTTTACAAAAAAATGGAATATCCCCAATGAAAGAGCCATAAAATCTTCACAGATGCACTTACAACAAATGGAAATATTAGCATATTTTCCTGCTTTTCTTTTTGTCTCTTGATATATAAATATACTGTTTAGGATGAATCATTCCAAAATCAGTCGCGGACATGGTGTCACTTCACATCGATTCCATGATTCCATATACGCATCCTAACAGATAAGGGTGCCCTCCCACAATTCTAAGAAATGAAATATTAATGGAATACCTATATCTCACATTTTATGTGAGATATAGGTATTCCATGAGGAGCTACCCCTGCTCCTCAGACAGCCACGTGGCTCTTGGGATAGAGCCGGTGTTCCATGCATGAAAAACATACACCCCTGATTGTCTCCCTGGCCCCAGACTTGGCCACCTTTTGTGAACAGTTCATGTGCACTGTCATATAAACAATCCTACTTTCTAAATTTGTCATTTCATTATTGTTAGAAATAGCACCGCTCATGTGCTACATGCCCAATATGTATTTTGCTTGTATTTATGTATGGAATACCTATGTATTTTCCACCTCTGTTTCCCAAATTCCTTTGATTAGCTTTCTGTTTTCTGATCAAAAATTCCCTGAAAGCTTTTGTATTGCCTTTGATAACAGAAGTATAGACCAGTTTCCTTGCCATTTTTCTAGGTGTGATTTTTTTTTCTGACTTTGACACTTGGGGAAGTATCTAAAGCAGCGTTCAGGGGCACGGGGGCCACTTATATAATATACGTCAGAGTTTCAATGCTAGGGCTTGAGGATGGTGCAGGTTGGGTCCTTTCTGGTGCTAGGAACCATGGGGGCTGCCCCAGCAGTGCTTGATCAAAGACCAGCAAGGCCACATCCAACAATGCCTGAGACCTTCACGGCTACCCCTGCTCCTCAGACAGCCACGTAGTGCTTGGGATAGAGCCGGTGTCCCATGCATGAAAAACATACACCCCTGATTGCCTCCCTGGCCCCAGACTTGGCCACCTTTTGTGAACAGTTCATGTGCACTGTCATATAAACAATCCTACTTTCTGAATTTGTCATTTCATTATTGTTAGAAATAGCACCGCTCATGTGCTATATGCCCAATATGTATTTTGTTTGTTTGGGGACCATACCCAGCTGTTCTCAGCACTTTTCCTTCACTCAGGGATCATTCCTGGTGGGGCAGAGGACCATATGGGATGCTGAGGATCAAACATAGGATGGTTGCATGCAAGACAAGTGACCTACCCACTGTAATATCTATCCAGGTGCCCCTCTATCCTCTGTAAATATGTGTGTACAT